AGCACTTTCCTCTCGCCGATGCCGACGATGCCGGCCGAACGGCCCGGAGCCTTGAGCTTGGCAGTGCACTTGGACGCCACAAAGACGCCTTGCCAGCAGCGAGGAGCCGTCTACTATGTGCTCTCTTCGGTGGCGCGCACACAAAACCATGACCCAGGCAGTCCTGGCGAAAGAGCCTCGCTGTCGTTGAGAACGTCACCGGAATATTCTCCTGCTGCACGTGCGACGGAGGCTGAAATGGGATAAGACGTTGCCTACTACAACTTGGCCTCCCCTATGTCGTGCTGCGCAATCCCACGGCCGCGCGGTATTTAGGGTCAGGGAGCAGCGCATGCGCCCTCGACACGCGATGTCTACCCCGACAGCAGACACTCTCGAGCTTATCGCCTCTTTGGCCCTGCTCGACATCGACCGCGTGGAAGGCTCTCGGAAGGGCAAAGAGCAAGATGGCGCTCCGTTGACCGACGAAGAGCTGGCCTTTCAGCTGTTCGCTGAGGAGGCCAACTCGTTGCTCGTTGCATCTCGGGACGCCATCTTAGCGAAGAGCATCGACAGTGCCCTACGCACCGATCGAGCATTATTGCACACGTATGCGGCCACGGAGGCTCGGGAGGCCAGAGACAGAAACATGGCCTTCTCGCTGTCTGGGCAGCCGCCTCCATCTGCGCCTGTGTACTCTGCTCCTGGCAGTCCCACCGTTCGTCTCACCGAACTAGTTGACAACTTGACTCTGTACCCTAGGTGTGCTTGTATCCCATTATAACAGTGCGGGTTTTCACGATCATTGCAGTGATGATGAAGACAACTCTGCCGCACAGTCATCTTCAAGTCGGATGGGAATCTCACGAGCACCAGCTGCAAAAGCTACACCTCAGACGTGAGTGTTGTTGCCATGTAAAAGGCCCTTGTCATGACTTTGGAATATCTTCCATACAGCACCCACGACTGTGTCATCTGTACCGATCCTATTCGAGGGCCAGAAGTCCGCGCACCCTGCGGCCACTACTACGATGCTTCCTGCCTTGTGGAGCTCTTCCGCGGTGCAACAGTAGACGAATCGCTGTATCCACCCAGATGCTGCAACCGACAGTTCGTCTTGCAAGACGTCCGTCGCTTCCTTGGGGAGGGATTGTACAAGTCTTTCCAGGCCAAAGCGCTCGAGTTCGGCACCGCCAACCGGGTTTACTGCCATCGTCCCACGTGCTCAGCTTTCCTCGGCGCCACAACATCCGAACCCACCGCGTACTGGTGCCCGAAATGCCTATCGCATACTTGCGGACAATGCAAGCAGGCAGGCCATTTCCCCCGCCTGTGCGATACAGAACGCGACCGCGAGGTCCTCGCCCTCGCCGAGCAGGAAGGCTGGCGACGGTGCCCCGGTTGCAGTCACCTTGTCGAGCTCGAGGTTGGGTGTTATCACATGACCTGTCGCTGCCGCAGGCAATTCTGCTACGTATGTGGAGCGAATTGGAAGACATGCGGGTGCCCGCAATGGGAAGAGCGTCGTCTTCTCAACGCCGCCGCCGTCCGCGTAGAGAGACAAATCCCTCGGGCCGCGCCAGCAGCTGTCTTTGGCCGCCTGGTTCGTGAAGAAGCTGAGCGGTTGAGGACAAATCACGAGTGTCGGCACACATACTGGAAGTACCGGTCTGGCGGAGGTCGGTGCGAGAGCTGCTCCTTCATGCTGCCGCAATATCTCTTTGTGAGTCTATTATCACGTCGTGGCGCAGCGCCAGCCGAGGCTCATTATTATCTGCCTACAGCGCTGCACGGGTTGTCAGATGCTAGCGTGCAACCGTTGCAGGCGGAATCGGCTGTAGACATCCTGGGATTTCCTGTAAATTCGAACTCATGTCGTCGTGGTCTGCTTTGCCTTGCTGAAACGTGTCACCCTAAAGATTCCATTGTTCTGGTTGCTCCTAGAAGCAGACTTCTAACTACAAAAAGTGAAACCTTATCACCGAGAATTCCATTTTTGCGTCCCTTCTTGATGATGATACTGACTCATGTAGCCTAAATTGCAAACTTCTTTCCATACACGAGGCGTGGGCACAGTATATAAGGGACGACTGTGGCATTGTCAATTCATGTCGTCGCGACCACTCCAACCACCATGTTGCCAGACACGCCGCCATACCTAGAAGATCTTGTACATCTCGACGAGGAAGAAGATACCGCCCTCATGCTGCAAGAGCTCGCGCTCGGCTTGCTCAACGAACTCTCGCTCGCCCGTCACGACCGACATTTCAGCGACGACTTAGACGACGCGTTCAGTCGCCTCGCGGCCGCCACCTACAACACCGCCGCCCTCGCGAGTGCCGCCACATTTGCCAATCTCGAGGCAGACGAGAGGGTGACGGCAGGGAGCGTGCGAACACTGGAGATGTCGGCGAGCCGTGTACATCCTCCAGTATTCGCACATTCCGGCCTTGATGACCCTACTCCGAGGGCCCTCAAGGGATGTGTGGAAGTCTGTACCGAGGAGTGAGTAGACATTCTTTGGAGCAATCGGGCGGCAGTCTTCATCGTGGTACGCTTGTGCCTGCAGGCCCTCAGCGGATCCCGTCGTGGATGAAGACGAAGGTGACGCATCACTCTCAGACTGCTCGACCCCGGTTGTGCGCACGCCTCCTTGCCGGGTGATAGATCCGTGAGTACTGCGTTCAAGCCATTGGAATCAACATCATTCACGAGGCAACGCACCTCAGTATTCCGAGTCCCCCCAACAGCGTGTGGCGCTACGGCTACCAGGTCGCTCCAGAGCCTATACCGAGCGATCAACAGGGGAAGCATCATTCACCTACCACCAGGATCACCCAGGTACTTCGTTCCGCGTTAGAGGAAGAGAGCGAAGACGCTCATAGTATTGTGCTAGTCTGTTCTGCTGTGGCTACGACATAATGATCCGCCTACGACCTACAGTTCCGCGTAGTTCCTTTTCGTACTGGCCTGCGGGGCAGGCACTGCCTTCCATACCATAGTTTGGTGTATGCCGATAGTAACGTTCATGCCGCCTTGTATAGTACCGATGTTTTTGCCCCAGTTACCCGAGTCATCCTTCTGCCATAAGTCAAAGACCTCGTAAGGTTGTGTCTGGTAGGCCGGACCCTGTATCGCCGTGTCAGGCTCCGAGTATGTCTAAGAGGAGTAGACGTTCTTACTTGATCGAAGAAGACGTCTACGAAGTCAATTTCAACAGTCTGGTTGACTGGAGAGGTGTTCAGCAGTGCGAACACAAACGTGCTAAAAGACGACGGAGGTCTATGAACAGAGCGAAGTAGCAGACAAATATCAACGCGCACTTGTTAACAAGGGCTCCGGCCCACAGTGAGGTTTCGCCCCCTTGGCTGATGGATCTCTTCCACATGCGATTCGCCGGAGAGCCTGCGGCATCCTGGTTGATGGCGATGATAGCTGTGTTGGTGATGATCGTCATAGTCTCATTAGTCTATGCACGCAAGAGATTAGTATCATTATTGGCTGGGAGCGAGGGGCCTGACCATGTTCGTGACATCATTACCCAGGATCAATGGACTCTTGAGAATGCTCCACATCGAGAAATGGGTACCTGTAGCCTGCGCATCAGCACCTTATCAAGCCAGTTTGAGGCATGTGCTTACGATATTCTTCGAAAGACATGCCACCATTACCAACTTCGAGCATGTCCAAGTCGTTCCAATGACCCGGTCCTGCTTTCTGACCTAACGGCGCAGCAAAGTCGATAATTCTGGACACCGCGCAGTCTGCATGGCGTCGTCAAGGGGCCGTATGACATTAGAAGTAATGAGGGCGTACGGAACCCGGGGAGCTTGCAGTCTATCACAGACGTACACGGGCACCGCTCGTCGTACCGGTCGAAGCTCTGAGTACGAATCGTCTGTCAGCTTCACGACCTGAATGTGCTGTCACACACTTACGTCCATAACGTCGCCGGATATTCTCCAACTGTTCGCAATTGTCTAAAGAGCGGTCAGAGTCCCGATGTGGCGAGTCAGGTGCAAACTACACGCCTGAGCATAGTTCCATGGGCCGTCTTCTCCCCAGCTGCACATGGAGTAGAGAATCGGGCGTCCAGTGACATTCAAAGCTCTTGACATGTTCGCATATCGTTCGTGTGAGATATGCGGCGTCCCCGCAAGGCCTTCGTTATAGCAGTTGTCGTACTCTGTGGAGCAGGCTCGGAAGCGTGTACGGGCAGTGGTAGAGATGAAGCCATGTGCTCACTGAGATAGTCGGCGCCCCACTCAGCGTAAGTTTTGGCATCGATTTCTTCATAACCAAGTGATCCAAAATGACCACCACAAGTAAGGCTGGATTGTTCCATTCAGCCACAGATTATGATTCTATATATGCGCGTACACTCACGTTCCAGCATCGCTATAGATACCAAACTAACGTATACATCCTCAGCGATTGCATGCTGCACATACTGAAGCAAATAATACCTTCAAGCCCATGGAATGGATCTTGTTCGAGAGATATTCCATGCCGTTTGGGAATTTGGTGGGATCGGCGACTGGCGCACCTGTCTGGTTGTCTCGAGAAGGAGCTTGCCAGCCTGCACAAGGGCGAGTGGATGAGTATTGAGTATCTCTGAAGTTGAGCCCACTCACAGTCGTCTATAATGACATCTGATACATTGCCGGGATCAGCCGAGAGCGCGGAATGTAATTTATATTAGGGATCCTACATTCATAACCGAACTGCGTCAAGTTGTTTTGGACGATAGCATTCGCAGCGCTGACTATCGTGTCTTCATCAACGTTGCATCCAAAATGGTTCCAAGTATCCCAGCCCATCTGCGGAGAGACGGCGAGGCCATTGTCCAACGCGAAGACGGTAGCCCAAAAGGAAACGAGTAGTGCAAAAGACGTCAGAAGGTGCATGTTTCCTTGCTGAGGAGAGATATCCAAAGAACCGTGCCGCACGCCTTGACAGCTCTCAGCAGCCACAGGCTGCCACCTATATAGTCGCTGAGGATCAGAAAGTCACGCGGTCGGCAGATCATAAGGGTAATGAAGACGCACCTTTCTGACCACCTGCCAGGCGTCATCTGACTATTCCATTGTCGAGAAGTACTGATGAAAGCCCTGGTCCACCCAGTCACAGCGCTCGGTGGGTCCTCGCTTGACCAAGCCCGCGGGCCGCTGGCATATGCGAATCAATTCCGACGTATATTGGAGCTCAATATCCTTGCAAAGACCTCGAAAATGTGAATCGTGTGACAATGATGTCATACCGAAGGACGGCGTAGCGTTGTGTCCGACTTGCGCCGCGCGTACAAGGTGTAAATTTCATGCTCTAATAGTCGGGCTAGGAGGTCTTCAGGAGCTGTCTGTTGTGTGAAGTCCATGCACCCGCTACTCTACCCTGCGGTAGTGCTAGGGACCATTCTTAAGCTTCAAGCCTGGCAAGGAAAACATCTTATGTACAGAAGCTCGGTTACAACATAAATCGGAGGACAAGATCAGGACGCACCTCATATATCATCTCCGCCGGGACGCCCCAACCCCGCATACCTTCGACACGATTGTCCATCCTCGAGCCCAGTACAATTCCAACGACAGCACCCGACTCCTCGTCAACGATGGGACCTCCACTCGATCCAGGAGAAGGCAAAGGCTCAAATGATAAATGTGACAGTGCATCGTACGTGCCCGGCTGCCAACACAAGTACTTGGGCACAGAGACAGCCCCCTCGAGGTGGTAATGACGCACCTTGGCTTCTCGACCAGCGAAGTCTCGATATCCGAGAATAGTCCCTCGAACCCATTTGCTCCACAAACCTCCAATCCATGGATGCCATCCGGGTTCGCTCGGTTCGGTATCCACTACGAAGTGCGCCCTGATGGCAGCGCCAGGGTGTGCAGGGTATGGTGACACGGTGAGACTGTTTGTCATAGGGCTTGCTGGGCCAGAGCTCGTGGACAGGACCAGCAAGTCTGGTCGTGGAAGCGAAGAAAGAGCACCGTTAACGGAGTGGAAAGTAGGTCGTTCTTTGCCGGGTTCTTGGGAAAGCACGTAGGTTCCTGATAAGATAGAGGATTTGGAGCCTGATGGTCCGCTATCAATCACGGAGGACAGGATGGGAGAACGGCGCATCTACGAGTCAGGTCCGTCAACGACATCTAGGACTAATGAGGGCAACTCACCGCTTGGAGTGTATGCGCGCAGGTGACCAAAACAGCCTGGTCCTTGTCTATGGGCTCGGGGCCTCCAGAAGGTGTGTTCAGAACAAATGCAGAGCATATGTCGACTTTCCAACGGTCCGCACTCTGCGCGGCATGCGCGACCATGACCACGCTATTCGCGCTCTCCGTGAACTTGACCTTTCTGGTCGCATTCGGGCGCGACTCGTATGCAAGAGGTGACTCGAGGACTTTGCCCGTGTTGCCGTCAAACTGCTGTACGAGAGAAGGGAGGCTGGCCGTAGACGTTTTCCGCAGCTCGGAGAGGATGAGCGCATCCAACGCCGTCGGCGCATTTGGAGTCGAGTCAGGCAACGCCGCAACCTTGGCGGATTTCGGCGGTGTCGGAGGCTCAGGAGGCCCCGTTACAATTGTCGCCTGCCTTATTGTTGCATACCTACGGTGATCAGGCGAGCAGAATATGCACCGAAGGTACGGTCGTCGAAGTACAAGTCGAAGTGCCATGCAACTCGGCCGACATCGTATCACTGCGTCATACCGAATGCGGAACACCGGGCCGGAAAGGTAAAGTTTAGACGAAGCAGAGATATTGCACGCAAAGGTAGAAGAGTAGCAACAACATCTAGCTGTAGATTTGACAAAGCAAGCAAGAATGAGATGTATGTGTTGTACATCGGAACCTTAATCCACCAGAACGCTCCAGGGGTGAGGAATCTTGCCTGTCTGGATACCGACAAGCTGCTTCCAAACAGGACGCGACACGGGGCCCATACCGTCGGCGCCGACGGGAATGTGTAGATCCTGACCCAGATAGCCAATACGATCGACAGGGCTGATCACGGCAGCGGTACCTACGCAGACATGATAAGGACGTAAACCTAGCTGCGCAGAGTGCGAACTGACCTGTGCCGAAGAACTCGACGAGTTGGCCCTTCTCGGCAGCCTCCACGACCTCCTTCATGGTGACAGGACGCTCATTGACGATGAACTTACCCTCAGGCATGCCCTTAAGGGGTGTCTTGCCGGATGCATGGTCGCGGGCGAGGGCCAGAACGGAATCACGGGTGACACCAGGGAGAATCATACCGTCAAGAGGAGGCGTAACGATCTCAGTCACTGACGAGTATGAAATTCTCGATGAGCCCGAATTCACTACAGTCTGTTGTAGACATACCGCCGTCGGAATGCTTGAAGACAACGAAGGCATTCATCGTTCCCACCTCGGTGATATGGTGGTCAGGACCGTGGAGCCATAGGTTCTGAACGTAGCCTTTCTTCGCGGCTTCCTTCTGCACCATCACACCAGGTGCATAGTTTGCACCCAGCTTATATGCACCTATACCTACAGAAAGTAAGTGTTGTTTCCTATACATTGTCATCACCACATACCTCCAGGAGCAGCACGGCTGTGTTCAGTCGTACCGTACAGAGCGACGGGTTTGAAGCCTTGCGGATAGTACGGACCAACGGGGCTGCAGATCACGAAGAGCAGCGCCTCCCTCGGCGGCGCAATTCCTAATGCCGCTTGAGTGCCGACTGTAAAGGTAGGAGTTAGTAGTCGCTTCGTACATGACATTACGATACGTGCTGAAGGTCGGGCGGATATACAGGCTGTAGCCTTCCTTGTCTGGAATCCAGTGTTTGTCGATGCGGATAAGCTGCTTGATGAGTTCAATGACAGCGTTTCCGTCGAACGTCTACGCAGCAAGGTCAACATGAATGCGGAGGGGTTGTATATGTTTCAACTGACAGGTAAAGCAATACGTTGAGCGGTTCTGTTCATACGCTTCATGTTCATGTCGGGGCGGAACATGGTAATCTTGCCGTGCGCATCTCGGTAAGCCTTTAGGCCCTCGAAGAGCTCTTGTGCGTAATGAAAGACGGTAGCGCTAGGGTCGAGTGACAGTGGTCCATCTATGAGTCACCTACCCGTTCAGCGGGAATAACTCGCGAGTACGGAGCGCAACACATACAAGGCTTGATCTGCGGAGCATCCCATCCCGAGGCTGCGGACCAAGGAACAGCCAGCATATGATCGGTCTAGGTATCTTACGGTCACGGCACGGCGAACGAAGAATGAGTGAATTGGCGTACGAAGGTGTGACCGAACACTAGGCTGGCCGGATTTGGTGGTGGCTTGGGTTTGTTAGTCTGTACGATTTGCAAACGCGACACCTGACAGATAGCACAAGCTCAATATCACTTAGAGAGATAGGAAATATGAAGAGGCACCTCAATGTCAGGGAGAGAGGTGAACTCTCCGGTCATTGGGTCTCGAGTGACACCTGAGTTGAACCGAGTCTGAGCAAGTCTAGGGACGAACAGGCCCGAGCGCGACCTAGTTAACGATGACAGCGATCGCATGGGCATTAACCGCGACATGGTGGTGTTGGCTGAAGGTGCACGTTCAGCGACTCCGAGTCACCATGCATATCCGCCAAGACCTGCTAAAACGCGCCAGGGATGACTAGCGCTCGATGAACGACTAAAAAGGAAGTGCACGCCGGCGCCCCAGGTGCGCGCCCGGACGCGTCGGCCGCCGGTTGAGGAGGATAGGGATTTCTGGGAAGCGGGCGGAGGTGGGCAATGGCGGCCAGAATACGGCCGGCATATGTTTCGGAGAGCAGGCAGCCATCGTGGACGCGCAAGGCATAGGTGTGCGAACAGAGAGGGAGCAGACGGCGATACGCCGCGCGTGCAGCGGGGACGAGAGGGAGCAAAAGTGACGAAAGGGGAGTATTTCCCGCGGTACCCTGGCTTTGCCATGCCGGGCCGGGATAAGCTGGGTAATCTCCCCTAATCAGAATCTCATCGACATCACCAAGCAAGCCGAGGCGGAATAAAGACCCTCAAAGCTCCTTTGCTTTTGACCACCACGTCCACTCTCTCCCGCCTCAACTCCGTACTCTCTACAATGGCTGCACCAACGTAAGTCGCGTCCTCTTATGCACTCCAGGCCCACTCTGACCGTCTTGCAGTGGTGACATTGGCCTCATCGGCCTCGCCGTCATGGTAAGGCGTCGATGAATCTTTCCCCCGAGCTATTTCCTCACTACCGCGCGTCCTAGGGTCAAAACCTGATCCTTAACATGAACGACAAGGGTTTCACTGTTATTGCCTACAACCGTACGACCAGCAAGGTCGACCACTTCTTGGCGAATGAGGCCAAGGGTGAGATTCCCTCATGGGCGTCTCCCAGCCGCGACGCTGACTACGCGTCGTGTAGGCACTAATATTCAGGGTGCCCATTCTATCGAGGAGCTTGTCGCCAAGCTCAAGCGCCCCCGCAAGATTATTCTTCTCGTCAAGGCTGGTTCTGCCGTCGACGCCTTCATTGAACAGCTCACCCCTCATCTCGAGGCCGGTGACATCATCATCGACGGTGGTAACTCTCACTATCCCGACAGTATCCGCCGCACCAAAGAGCTTGAGGCCAAGGGGCTGCTCTTCGTTGGCTCTGGTGTCTCTGGCGGCGAGGAGGGTGCTCGATACGGCCCTTCTTTGATGCCCGGTGGCTCACCAGCTGCCTGGCCGTCCATCAAGGAGATCTTCCAAAAGACTGCTGCTTCTGTCAACGGCGAGCCTTGCTGCGACTGGGTCGGTGAGACAGGTGCTGGACACTACGTCAAGATGGTTCACAATGGTAGGCTATTTTTTCGCAGATGAGATCTCCGCGCGTGTATTCACATATTTCAAGGTATTGAGTACGGTGACATGCAGCTCATCGCAGAGGCCTACGACATTCTCAAGCGGGGTCTCGGCGTGTCCGAGGACGAGATCGCCGATATCTTCCAGAAGTGGAATAAGGGTGTCCTCGACTCCTTCCTCATCGAGATCACCCAAAATATCCTCAAGTTCAAGGATGACGATGGCGAGCCTGTGGTCGCTAAGATCCTCGACCAAGCCGGTCAGAAGGGCACAGGCAAGTGGACCGCCGTCGCTGCGCTGGACGCTGGTATGCCAGGTACGCAACTGCCTATACTACGGCGTGATCGTAAGAATGATGTCATCGCGTTTTAGTCACTTTGATTGGCGAGGCCGTCTTCGCGCGCTGCCTGTCCGCTATCAAGGAAGAGCGTGTCCGCGCGAGCCGTGTTATCGCTGGTCCCCAAAAGGAACCCTTCAAGGGCGACAAGCAGCAGTTCATCGACGATCTCGAGCAGGCTCTCTATGCCTCCAAGATCATCTCCTACGCACAAGGCTTCATGCTCATGCGCGAGACTGCCAAGGAGCTGAACTGGAACCTCAACTACGCCGGCATTGCACGTATGTGGCGTGGCGGTTGTATCATCAAGTCTGTCTTCCTCGGCGATATCACTTCTGCTTACACGAAGAACGCGAACCTCGAATCTCTCCTGTTCGATGACTTCTTCAACAAGGCCCTCCACAAGGCACAGCCCGGTTGGAGGCGTGTTATTGCTCAGGGTGTCATCTGGGGTATCGCTCTACCGGCCTTCAGCACCGCGCTGTCCTTCTTCGACGGCTACCGCAGTGAGATTGTCCCTGCGAACCTTATCCAGGCGCAGCGCGACTACTTCGGTGCCCACACTTTCCGTGTCCTGCCTGGTAAGGAGAACGCTAAGTTCAAGACTGGCGAGGACATTCGTACGTATTCCTTTTATATCGTATATTTCCAGAAACTGACCGTCCACATCCCAAAGACGTCAACTGGACCGGCCGTGGTGGGAACGTTTCGGCGTCGACCTACGTCGCATAAGGCGCTCTCTCTTCGTGCTGCCTTCAACGTTGCTGTCGAAACTAATTGTAGCATCATATGAGAGGGGTATTTAACGGATAGCGGTAGGATCGTATAGGAAGCAAAACCTAAGTGTTAGAATATCCGTGTACTCATCATTATAGAAGGAGCAAAGAAAAAATATTAATGTATCATCAGCTTCTCATGTCTTTTGAGTGAGATCGGTCTGGCGCTTGTGTATAACTAGTAAACAAAAAAGGAAGGAGCTGTGAATCAAATTTCACTCTAACCTTCATGTGCGGTATTCTGTTCTACCTCCATAAAGTAGCTCAGTGTCAGAACGATGCTGCATGGAACAATTTGTTCCATCGATTACGAGACGCAAACGCAGCTCGAGGTCAGCTGAACAGCTTCTCGACTGAACCTTGCTTCTCACTTTTGTATCGGACGCTAGGGCCGGACGCGCAAGAGACCGTCGTCCAAAATATAAGTGACGTTCATATGACTTTCTTTGCCTCAGAGTTGCGCCTTAGAGGCGATGCATATATTACGCAACCTCACAGAGACGAACATGGCAATGTGCTATGCTGGAATGGAGAAGTGGGTACCGCCTTTCCGATCGTCTAGTACGACTAGTCTAAGGCTAATGTACAACAGATATTCGAGGGGCTGGAGGTGATTTTGCACCACGTGTTGTATTCCTCAGCCACTTATCATAGATAATACAGGTCTCCTCGGAGGAGAATGATGGCGCGAAGCTCTTCGCAGAGCTACAGCGCACCCAGGCACCCGAACAGATCCGAGATCTTCTTGGTAGCGTGGAGGGACCGTGCGTGGTCACCTTGAATGCAAATTGTACGCTATTGCTGACACTCAAATAGATATGCGTTTGTGTACTACAGTGTACGTCTCATTTCTGCCTATATGCTAAGGCCTGCTACTGATAGCGGCTCAGGCAAGCATGCACAAGCTCTTCTTCGGCCGTGATCCTCTTGGCCGTCGGTCGCTTCTCATTCATAAGCCGACTACGGAATCCCCTAGGCTGATTCTTGTGTCCGTATCGGTCGGCCAGTGTCCGGAGTACTCGCTGGACGAGTTACCGACAGATGCCTTCTTTTACGTCGACATACCTTCACTCTCGGACGGAGATGTATGTGTCTATTTGTACAGCACTAGCGAGTGCTGAGCTTTCCCGCAGTTAGTCGATATTTTCTCATCGTGTCTACAGACACTTGGGAGAGAGGATCCCGAGAGGCCTAACCGATTCGTAAGTTATTGATCTATTATCATAAATCTCGATGATGGAAGCGGTATCCGAATTCGTATGGCCACCCCTTAGGCTCACCTTGCTCCCGTCAATCGTACTATACCAGACAACCCGCCTGTATCGGGCGATCTTGACAAGCCATCTGAGCAACTAGCTGTTGCCGCTGATCTGCTCCTCGGCCATCTGGACGAGAGCGTCCGTCTGCGCGTATCAAATATTCCACAAAACCCGTAAGTCAAATCGATCATGTTATGATGCTCCCTGGGAGTGCTCTGACAGACTGACAGTGAGGATCAAGGCAAAGCTCGGATAGCAGTGCTCTTCAGCGGCGGGATCGATTCAACGGTGCTCGCTTTCCTGGCAGATAGGCACGTTGATCGCGACGAACCCATCGATTTACTGAATGTTGCATTCGAAAACCCGCGAAAAATCCTCGTACAAACAGAAGGCAACATCGGTGGCCTGCCTAAAAGAGAGAAGAAGCAGAGGCTTAAAGACCGTATAGACTACTCGACCATCGATGTCACGTATAATGTTCCAGATCGAGGTACAGGTCTGCAGGAGCTTGAAGAATTGAGGAGGTTGTGTCCTCATCGAACTTGGAATCTTGTGAGCCCTTATGCTTGCATTATGTACATCTTTCCACTCATAATACATCTTAAGGTCGAGGTTAATGTGCCATTTGAGGTTAGTGAAACTGTCACTTAGCATCTGTCGCCAACCGACACTGACATGCGTAGGAATACACGGACGCGCGAACCGTGATTGAGAACTTGATGTTCCCTGGGCGGACCGTTATGGACCTTGTGAGATGTTGTTCCGAGCACACGTAAGATAGAGCTAACAGCTCTGACTGTGGCAGAGTCTGGCTGCCGCCCTCTACTTCGCCGCGCGAGGAGAGGGCCAAGTACGCAGCGTTGCTACGGCTAAAGCAAGGCCGTACAAAAGTTCGGCTCGGGTGTTGCTCAATGGCTTGGGTTCTGACGAGCTTCTTGGCGGGTACGGCAGATTCCGCACTGCCTTCAAGGCAGCGGGCTGGCAGGCAATCATAGATGAGGTGAGCGTGGAGAACAAATGCCGCGCCGAGCCTTGCTAAATGGTATGTATGCTTAGCTTCAACTAGAATTACATCGGATACCTACAAGAAACTTGGGGCGCGATGACCGGGTCATTTCATCTCACGGGAAGGAGACAAGACATCCATTCCTGTCGCTCTCTGTTGTTTCTTTCTTATCGAGCTTGCCGGTCCATATGAAGTTGGACCCACGTCTGGAGGCCGGAATAGGAGAGAAGATGTTGCTCCGAATTGCGACAAGGAAGGTCGGGCTTGTTGAAGCAAGCAGCAGGAAGAAGCGTGCGATGCAGTTTGGAAGTCATTCGGCAAGGATGGCTCCGGGAGAGGATGATAAGAAAGGGGACTTCCTGCTGAAAGAATAATTTAGACAGTAATATTGTATAATATATACACACCCGAATCTTGAGAGGTATTCAAAGGGCTTGCGCGTGTTCGAAAGGACGTCTCGGCGATTCATCCGAGGTTTCGGAGGCGACGCGTAGACGCGCATCAATGCCTCGTAGAGGCGCCCGTTCCGAAGTTGGAGGTCGACCACCACAAACCAGTGTGCGGTCATGGCATTCCAGCAGACACTCAACCGTCTTTTGAGCACGTATCATTACTGTACATGACAGCGACAGCTTGCACTTACTCGTCTCCTTTAACAGTCCCCGTTGCTCTCGCCGGTGCCCTGTTCCAGTCTAGCATTTACGATGTTCCCGGAGGTTTCAGGGCTGTCATGTTCGACCGGTTTGCGGGTGTGAAGGACGACGTACGTGTATATGCTCTTTATTATAGTGTCATGAGCTTATATATTCTGCCCGGTACCAGGCAAAGCCCGAGGGTACTCATTTCCTCATCCCGTGGCTGCAGCGGGCCATTCT